AATTGTCCATGGAATGTGTTGAAATAGTTCATATGTCATTCATAACATATTAGACTTTATATTATTGTTGCAATGATACATCACATTGTATATGCATAGGTGTATCGCATCATGAGGGTGTGTGTGTGCATGGTCGTCGTCAATATCACACTTGGTGGATGACGGGTGGGCTTGAAAAAATTGGGTCGAAGATCTGACTAAGTCGCACGGTTTGCACGATAAATTGGGNTGTGTGTGTGCATGGTCGTCGTCAATATCACACTTGGTGGATGACGGGTGGGCTTGAAAAAATTGGGTCGAAGATCTGACTAAGTCGCACGGTTTGCACGATAAATTGGGTAGAAAATCCCTCGAGTGCAAGACTCGGTAGTTGGGGTACGCACTCCCTTGGTTTGGTCCATAAAGTGTGTGGGTGTACGCAAAACCTTCGGTGGAAGTCCATAANAGAAAATCCCTCGAGTGCAAGACTCGGTAGTTGGGGTACGCACTCCCTTGGTTCGGTCCATAAAGTGTGTGGGTGTATGCAAAACCTTCGGTGGAAGTCCATGTGGGTTAGGTTATCCTTGATGTAAATCCATGAATACTCACCCCAAGAAAAACTCTAGATTTATAAATGTCATTTGATATGCCACATAAATGACGGATTCATACACATTGACATAACATGTGTTGTGGGAGCCGGTGAGGACTCGGGTTGATGTGCGTGAGTGAGTTTCATTTCATTTCATGGCATGATATGGTAAATTTCAACATTATACGCATATTCCTGTTTGGAATGTTATGGATTATGGATTGTGTTGTATGTGAACATTTCATCTGCATCTAAGTTGGGAAGTAACCTCTTTAGGAGATACCCTATTGAGCATAACTCACTCTTTATTAAAAAATATTTCAGATGCAGGGGTTCATACTGGTGGACGGCTCCCAATTCAAGCCTTAAGGGTGAAGAAAGCTAACTTATGACTTTTATGACTCATTTTATATAAATTTTGTGAAAAAATTCCATTTTGGCATGTAAATATAAAAAAATTGTAATCAAACTCATATAAACTGTTTTAATGTAAAAAAATTGCATGTGGTTATATGAGTATGGATAAATGTACCCGGTGTGGTCAATGTTTAATTATAAATGAACCCGGTGTGGTCAATATTTATTCATAAGTGGTCCCAGTGTGGTCAATGTAATACAATTGCACAGGTTGTATTTTGGGTAGAACTCTTCATACAAAGAAGACTCTACCCAAATTTTATTAAATTAAAATTTTCCAATTTTTGGGGCATCACAAAACCCCCGCCAAGAAGAGTAGGTAGGATGGGAATTGCAGGATAAAAAAATGACGGCTCCTCTGCCCACTTGATTAGTTGCACCTTCTGGGTTAATGGATTGATTTCCTGAGAAAAACAAAAATCCACAAGTTAATTTAAAATGAGTATCCAAAAAAATTATTATATGAAGCATCACTAAATCCCTCCGGTGCATGCATCTACATCTCAATGAAAACCACACATATATCTTCTCAATACTATTATACATTTCTTTGCTGGCTTTATGAATTGATATTAAAAAAATTAATAATTCATATAAGTGTATATCTCAAATAATTTTTTTTCATCCGTGATATGGATCACTATGAAGAATAGCGACTTGGATGGGTACTTGGGAACTTATCCTGAATCTGTCCTTCGTGAAAATAAGCTTCTTAGTTTGCTGATGATGAATATTTTCATAGTGAAATCCTGAAATCCAGAAAGCATCAACCATTAACAATTTGAACGGCTATACTTGATTTTAGATTATCATTAAAAAAAAGATTTAACATCAATAAAAAATAAGAATGTAATACTTTCATTGTTGGAAGGTACAATTGGAAAAAAAATGTTTTTCAAGTATAGTGACTTTTTAAAGTAGTATAGATCGGAGGGTACAATTGAAAAAAAAATATTTTTCAAGTATAGTGACTTTTTAAAGTAGTATATATATAGATATAGATAGATAGATTAAAGGCTAAAATTAATTATTAAAGCTCAAATAAATATAACTAATGTCAAATTTATACACATAATTAATTTAAGAAGATGAAAGGATACGAGAAGATTATGTAATTAATTAAAAAAATAAATAAATAAGAGAATATGATTGACTTTATAACAATGATTAAGGGCAAAATAGTCAAACAAAAATTTTTCACTTTTGTTGACATTTTAAAGTAGTGTACACACACGTTTGTTCTATCTTCCTTTTAGATATAACTTTGGTTGGATATCTTTTCTAGCATACTTTAGCGCTTTCATGTGTTTTGTGGGCAACTTGGGAGCACTACAACAAATTTATTTTTTAGCGACGAGTTTTGACGACAAATAATACAATTTGTTATAAAAAATGATTTTTGGCGACAATTTCAAATGTTTTGTCGTGGTAAACTTTTTTATAATATTTTTCGCGACCATTTTTTGTAGTCATCACCAATAGTCTTTGCAAAAACGTTCCCACTAAAAAAAATTGACGCCAATGTTGGCGCTAAATGCTAATTTTATGGGCGACAAAAAAGAAATTGTCGCCAAAATAATTTTTTGGTCACAAAATTTTTGTCAAATAACGAAAAATAAGAAAATAAAAATAATAATACTTAGCAACAATACATGTTTGTCGCAGAAAAAAAAAGTTCAATTTTTTTTTATTTGGCGACAATTTATATTTGGTCGCAAAATATCACAATAAGAAAAACGTTTTACTACGACGACTTTTTGCGATGTATAAAAAAAATTGTTGCAAAAAAAAATAGACATTCTACGATATGTAAGACAAACAAATGTCTTTTGTTTTTGTCCCACATTGGTAAATGAGGTGAGATGGGGAGGGCTGACTTACCTATAAAAGGCAGTGGTCTCTTGTTTTTTTATTTTAGACTTAAAGTTTGATATTTATGTGAGATTTTATTAAAAATTTCTATTGTTTTAGGTAAGTACAACTAATAGTAAGAAAAGTAGAGTATTAAAATTTGTTGATATAATTTTTGTAAAATTAAACGGATTAAATGAGTTGTGTTGTGTTACCCGTTTATAAAATTTGTTTATTTGTTATTTGGCGTCGAAAATATATTAGTCGCAAAAAATATACCTTGATTTTCAGCAACAAATATTATGTCATCACCAAAAAAAAAATATATTACCATAATATAAATTTTTTCAGCGACAAAGGTTTTTTTGTGACAAGTAAATGAATTTTTAAGCGAATAAAATTTTTTTTAACACTGATAATCTATTTTAACGACGATACTTTAGTTGGTCATCAAAAACTTTCAGTGGCAAGCCTATCGCGACAAATTGGCGACGAAATTTTTTTGTCACAGAAAATTTTTAACGGTAAATTATTCACTTTTAACAATGACTTTTTTTTGCCGCTAAAAAACATTTTTCTTGCAGTGGAGGCGATTCGTAATAGAGAGTTTCATGCTTAATTCGTAACTTATCTTGGATTGTTGTATCTTGGGAAAAGAACGCTAGAAAACTTTTTGAATTTCTTTATGTTTATTTGATATTTGCTTATTAATTTGATGTTAGAAATTTTGTTTTGTAAAACTCTAAATCAAAATAATATTTTCAACAATTTCTAAGAATCTAAGAGATAAATTTCTTTTTGATTTAGAGTAGTATAGATAATTCTTGGTCTTTATTTGAATCTAGCATATTTCCTTTAGTTTGGAATGTGACTACATATGAATCTAATTCTTGTAAACTTGAGAAATTTAACGGTCAACACTTTAGCAGATGGCAACAATAAATGAAATTTTGATTGACTACTTTGGGTATAATATTTGTGCTTGAAAAACCAACACAACCTAAGGAAAATGTACCTATATAATTATGGGGTTGAAGAAGAAATTGTTTAATGGAAGTGTTAAGGCATACGCCTATTTTTGAAAAAGAGAGTTCTTCTCAATCTTACAATTATTAAAGTCTTATATTTGGGTGATGTTCTCCATATTTTTAAGATTCTTATGAATCTTGAGTTTGTGGCTTACCCCGATAAAATAATGATTAAAAATCTGATATGATAGGAATTAAAAGTTTGATATCATATGCTTATGAATAACAAAAATACGTTAAATAAGTTTTTGGGTTAGAGTATAAATATTGAAACTAGCAGAAAGAAATTAAAAGGGTGTAAACAGCTGCATTGAAATCCTAAAAGGGCTGATTGTATATTTTGGGGTTGCAAATGTAATTCATACCTAAATAATAGGGTATTTATGGCATTTGTCGGTTGGTGGAGACAAAGAAAGGAGTGGCCATGCTTCATAATTTCTGATTACTGTTTAGGTCCCTACGTAGGCACTATTGTTGGAAAGAAAAATAAAAAGAATAGAGGAGGAGCCCACGTATCTAATGATTGTATATATCCAATAATTGTATCTATGATTGTCTTTCATGCAATGTCTGATTACTTTGCTCGTAAACATTTTTTTTTAAATAGAATCAAACACTTTATTGATCTTTTTTTTAAAAAAATTACATAGAAAGCGAGAGATGGTTTAATGACACACCACATGATTTTGTAGATGTAGTTTAGATATAAAACATACAAAATCATTCCATTAGTTCTTATGCAAGACTTAATTTCTCTATGAAAACGAGATCGATTATATTATAAAATATGTGAATATTAATAAAGTGAACCTATATTTATAACCATTTTGGAAACAAAACTTCCTTACACATGTTAAGCATGGCTTGAGCTGTTATCATTTCTATAGTTATTGCAAGAAAACAATCCTAAAAAACATAATTAAAGATTGGGATTATAAACAAGAAAATATTTAACTTGATGGATGAGATGATATATTGGTGGTAGGAATGCCACTATGCTACTTCTTATCCTTCTCAGATATTCTTCTCTCTCTCTCTCTCTCTCAAAATATGGCGTCCGTAATATTCAACCTTGTACCCATAGTTCTCTCTCTCCTCCTGCTTTCANTCTCTCTCTCTCTCTCTCTCAAAATATGGCGTCCGTAATATTCAACCTTGTACCCATAGTTCTCTCTCTCCTCCTGCTTTCATGTGAAGCCCAAGAAACAATATACCCCTTTGAATATATATTTCAGTTGGGAGATTCATTGTCTGATACAGGGAACCTTATTCGCCAATGCACCCACGGAGAAACGGTGGCCGCCGCCCACCTGCCATACGGTGAAAGCTTTCACGGTAGGCCCACTGGTCGCTGGTCTAATGGCCTTCTCATCATAGACTTCATTGGTAAGCTGGCTTAACTCATGAACACCTGCTCTACATAGAGTTAGTTTATTTACTTCTTTCCTTCCTTCCTTCATTTATTTCTTTTTTCCCCCTATTTTGGTCTTAAATAGAGAGTAGAAGGATTGAATTGATTTCATCGTAAGGATAATAATTTTTTGCACAATATGTTAAGAATTTTACACAAAACAAAAGCAAAATAGGGTTGGTTAATTCATGGCAAGAACTCAATTGAAAATGTTTCACTACTCAAAAATAACTCAATCCAATAAAAACAAAAAACAAAAAAAAAAAAGTAAAGGGATCAGGTTACTGTCAGATATAACATGCCTAATTCATTACCAAGAAAACAATAATTTTTAAATAAGATATTGTATATAGGATCACATGATTTTTTATTTGCTTCTATTTATACTAGCAATGCACCACGTGCGTTGCACGTGAATAGTTTTCATATATAAAAATTAATAAAATATATTAGGTATATATGTAATTGAATTAAATATTGTTTCAAATTTACCAAACTTAATTTTTTATTGTTCATAATCTATTATACAATTATGAAAAATTTGTATGTTCCTAAAATTCTTTGTTATAATTAGAAAAAAGAAATACTAAAAGTTCTATTTTTTTAAATTTTGTGATTGAGATTGATTTTTTAGTGATGTTTTAAAAAATTAATTTTTTTGAAATTCATTTGATTATGATTTCACTTATAATTCATTAAATAAAATAAAAGTAATTGTCAATATACTAACCACATTGGAACCTTACTGCAATTTGGAATTAGTTATGTCAATTGGAATAATATTTAATATACTACTCTATAATATATATTATTCAGCATACTAAAATTCTAAAAAAATTAAGTTTTACATAAACATACACTACAATATCTATTTTTACATAAAATCTTAGTACAACTTAAAAAATTTATTGTGACTAAATAATTATACTTATATAACATAAATTAATTTTAAAAAATTATATGAATGATTATTTTTTATCTCAAAAATAAAAAATTTAAATTTTTGATAAAAAAAAAACATACATATGCAGACATGATATTATCTCTGCATATAACGTGAGAAATATTATATTGATAGAGTTTTTGAAAGTTTTTTGAACACTTTATTGAAAATATAATGATGCATATTTTTTTAAGGGTAATATAATCAATCAAAACATTTTATAGAAACTAATTAAATAATTAAAAAATATGTTATAGATAATTTAGAAATTTAAAGACATACGGATACGATGGTAATTTAGATATTTAATTGTGAAAGAAAAGACTAATATTTGTAATACTTTATAAGCGTAAAATAGAGATTCAAAAGTTTTTCATTTTAAGATACTTTTATCAGTAGTATAGATATAGAGTCATTACATTTTTAGTTTATGAGAACCTGGGCACTGGCTGTTTCATTGAGAGACAAGGGAAGTTTAGCTTAATGGAGATACATTGTTAGGATTGACTAATTTTTGACAAGCAGTTTATAAAATGTGGCAATGTAGTCCAATCCTAAATATTCATTGTCGTTTCTAATAAGTTTTTTTGTTGTACTGATTATATTATCCTCTCTATGCACAATCATTTGCTATTTTAAGTTTTCAGTAAAAAAATTTTACTCAATTTTTTTAAAATGGTGCACAATGCTGCCTTTTTGATTGACTAAGGGTGTAATATGAGAATATAATCTTTTAAGGTGCAAATTGAACATGCAAAAATTTCTTAGGGTACAAAACATAATTTCCCTTTTTGAAAGAAAAGTAACAACTACCAACTCGACCAACCACTGGATCAGTAAATGCATGGACCACGGGGACCTATTATTGTATGTCTTTGTAGCTGAAGCTTGACCATCGGATTTTTCTTATTCATTTAATTAGTTTTTTAATTTGCCTTTCAGTATTCCAGGTGATGGCCTTTTAATTTCCTTACACACCATTTAAAAAAGCTACTGTTCTCAACAGTTGTGATTTGTAAACCTTATTGGGATGCCCTATCCCACTTTGTTTCCCAGCCCCTAGTGCAAACTTCTTGTTGCTGCCATTATACTACCGCTTTCCTTCCGATTGTCATGACCAATGATGCATGAAACGATTTTTTTCTTTGACACGGTTATAGAAATCTTGGAGACAAAGAGAACCCAAGCTGGGAGTGTCGTCCCAGAGATTTCATTAGAGGGAGTTGGAAGCAAAATATTTCTTGGAGCCATTTATAAAATCAAAGATCAAAACAAGAATCAAGAGGAACTCGAGAGAATTGATGGTTTAGAGGGATTGCTTAGGGATTTTCAAAAACTATAGGAGACGTTTGATGGATTGGGTCATAAAAGATTAAAGAGAATGAAATCTTTTTCTACCGATAGAAAGCTATAAATTTTTTTGACCGAATAGGAATCTACCGGTAGGAAGCTACATTCGACCTAGCAGTAGCACAGTTCAGAATTCCCACAATTTTTATTTTTTTTAATTCTTTTTATTATTCAAAACTAATTAAAACAAATTAATTAAAACCCCATGCCCTAAAACCCAAAGTGTACCCAAATTTTAATAGGAAAAATAAGTCCTAAAGATGTGTTTGGAGTGATTTTTTAAAAGTACTTCTACAAATTATTTATCATAAATATTTTTAAAAAAATAGTGTTTGAAACTGTCCCACCACTACCTCTACCACCACCACCACCACCAGCATCGCCACCACCACCGTTGTCTCTACCACTACCACCACTACTATCATTACCATTACCACCACTACCACTACCACCACCACCATTGTCACCACCATCACCACCATCACTGCCGTAGCCTTCGCCTTCGCCCCCACCACCACCATCACGGTCATTATCACTTACCACAATCATCATCATCTCCTACCCACTACCACTGTCGCCCACCACCTCTCACCCTGACTATAAATCAATGCTTAAATTTTTTTATCTTTTTTGTATGTTTGTGATTTGATTTTGAATATAAATACAAATATGTTTATTATTTATTATTTTTTATTATTTTGTATCTTCAAATATAGGCAATAACTAGTACATCTATATTTTTTGAACATATTTTATCCAAAATCATAATACAGTCATAAAAGCGTCTTTCTTTTGATCCTATGAAAAACTAGGCAAATTCATGAGGACCCTCTTTCGAAAAGATGAATCACCTTGGCCCATATTTATTGGGGTAAATTAAGGGTACATTATAAAAAATGTTTATGTAAATAGCCTCCAACAAAACGAATTTAACCGATTCCTATCTCCAACACCAATTATCTATCCCAAGGAAAATCTTACACTGCTAGCCAACACAGCCCCTCTTTGTTATCCCTTCTTTTATTTTTCATTGGGAGAATTACACCCAGGGCCCTTTAAAATATTATACACATTTCTTGAGATTTGTACACATGTAATACTTAAATTCTTATTGTCAGTGTCCGTTAGAATATCCGTTAGTAAATTATACTCAAACCTCCCAAAGTTTATAGGCATGTAATATTTAAACTACTCAAGATAAAAATGTTATACTTAAATAAAAAATAATCTCAATAGATAGTATAATTGCATATTAATTATAATTTTTTTAAAAAAATTAAATTTTTAATTTTAATTTATATCAATAAATGACATAATAGAACATAAATTTTTATTATAAAATTTAAAATATTTAATATTCTATATTTAATTAGAATATTTTTTATCTAAATATAACATTTTAAACTATAAGAGTTTAAATATTACACGTATACAAACTTTACAGAATTTGGATGTAATTTACTAATAAATATTCTAAAGGACATGGATGATAGATGTTTAAGTGTTACACGTATATAAATTTCAATATATATATATATATATATATATAATATATTTTAAATATCAAAATTTTAAATAATTAAATAACAACCCTCAAAAAAATTTAGGTTACCTTCTCCCTTCTCATTTTTCTCGCACCAAACAGACACCACTGGCAACCGTACAGCTTTCACCACCGGCAGCCGCAGCCCACAAACCACTTGCCTAGTATCACAAGTCTCCATCAACTCCCCGTCACAAAAAAATAAAAACAATTATATGTAAATTTTTTAAAATTTATCATTTAATCATTCAAATTCTTGACATTTAAAATATTATATACAGATCTCTTAAAATTTATCCACGCATAACAATTAAATTCTTACTGTGAATATATCAATTAATATATTACATTTAGACCCCGTAAAATTTGTAAATATATAATACTTAGACCCCTTAAATTTAAAATATTATACTTAGACTAAAAATACTTTAATTAAAAATAGAATATCAAATATTCATGTTCTATTGTATCATTTATTGAAAATTAAATATTAAATTAATTTTTTATTAAAAAATAGTAATTAGTATACAATTATACTATCTATTAAAATAAAACAAAAAAAATCAAAAAAGATGTTTAAGTCATTCATAATAGAGCATAAATTTTACATCTAAAATTCATATTCTATTTTGTTATTTATTAAAATAAAATCAAAAATAAAAATCTTGATTTTTTTTTAAAGTCATAGTTAGTATATAATTATAATATCTATTAGAATAAAACTAAAAAACTAAACAAATGGTCAACCTATAATTGACACAATATCTTTTTAGCTTTAATTGGATAGTTTGGTCATTCAAACTACCAAATTAAATTTCAATAAACAATATAATTATATACTAATTACGATTTTTAAAGAAAAAATTGAATTTTTTTTTAATTTTTTTGAATAAAAGATACAATAGAAAATAAATTTTAATTGTAAAATTCAAAATATTTGATATTTTATCTTTGATTGAAGTATTTTTTGTCAAACATTTTAAATTTAAGAGGTTTAAATAATATATATTTACAAATTTTAATGGGTCTGCGTGTAATATTTTAAATGTCAAGAAATTTAAGTGATTAACTGATAAATTTCAAAAAGTCTGAATGTAATTCTCACTAAAAAAATGTCAAGTTCGAATCGGTGGCAATATGCACAGTCCAAACTAGCCTAAACTGCAACCCGCTTTTTCATCGAATAACACCAATTTCAATTCAACTGGATCCAATCATCATTAATATCATCGTCAAGTGAAGTGGAAATCAGGAACAAAATAAAAATTAATTTCAGCCCAATTTTCATCCACACCGAAATTTGCCACCACCACCCACAACAATAATCCACACCTTCAAACCCCAACACTGTACCACCATTACCACCATCACAGTGCACTACCAAGCAAACACCACACTACACACATCAGCCGTCACCCCTCCATAATCAAATCTCACTTCCACCCCTACCTACCCATCACACCAGCTACCTATGAGAACACCCAATTCTCCAGCAACTGCATTGTAATTCATTATCAACTGTGAATACTGTGGAGAAGGAAAGATGATTGTTAGCTAAGGCGGAGTGGCTTGGGGGAGAGGGCAAGGGGTCATTGGGGTTTTGGGGTGAAGAGACACTTAGCTTGTCTCTG